ACCAAATTTTTTTAAGGAGTTGTACGTGATACTCGAGAGCGTGAAAACGCTGAATTTGAATTGCAAGGTCGTACGTCGGTCGGAAGTCATTACTTCGAAATTTTAGTTTCCTGGGTTCCGTGGTTCCCGAGGTGATAATTTACCCGCCAAAAATTTCACGGGGCCGTATATGTTACCTGCGGGCACGAAAAGAGTGAATTAAAATTTTCTGGGTAGCACATGGGCGGGGAAAATGCCCACGCAATTTCAGCCTTCTAGCTTCCGTGGTTCTCGTGATAGTAATTCTAGCCGCCCAAAATTTTACGGGGCCGTACGTGTTACCCGCGGGTACGGGGAGGCTGAATTTAGTTTTGCGGGGCCGCACGTTGGTGAGGAGCACTACACTAAAATTTCAGCCGCGTAGCTTTCGTGGTTCCCAAGTTGAAAGTGCGGGACAAAATGTAGGACACACACACGCACACACAGACAGACAACCCCGTGACAACATGCGTTTTCTACTGCTGTTACACAGCACAAAACGCATAAAAAATCGAAATCAAAGAATCGGATGGAACTGCCTTACAGAAGCCCATCTGCAGTAGTGTTTTTTTGCTGCGTAAAGCTGAGAAGTCTCAGCTTTACTTACGCAGTTTTATCTTATTCGCTCCAAGCTTATCTAAGCATCAACTTCATAAATGGGAAGTCCTCTACTGATTTTGTAGAAAACCTCCACTCGCATAGACTCACTTTTATTCGTTTGCTTTTAATTTTTTTCGCGCTGGGCTCATATTTTTATGCGTTTGGTGCTGTGCAACAGCTGCACAAAATGCGCATTGTCACGGGGTTGTCTGTGCGAGTCCGCAGTAAACTGTCAGCAACTTTCAACTCGGGAACCAGAAAAGCTTGGGGGCTGAAATTTTAGAGGAATGTCCCGAATCCATGTGCGACCCAGAAAATTTAAATTTAGCCCTCCTCTGCCACGGGTAATACGTACAATCTCGTAAATTTTCTGGCGGGTAAAGTTATTATCATTGGAACTACGGAATCGAGGGAAGTGAAATTCTTGGACAATGACCCCCCTGTCCACGTACGACCTTGTAAATTCAAATTTAGCGTTCCCGCGTTCTCGGGTGTCACCTACAACTCCGTGAAGATTTTGGCGGATAATTATTATTTCGGAAACCAGGAAAATTGGAAATCTGAGATTTTAGGGCGATGTCCCCTATCAACGTACAACCCCCGCAAATTTGGACTCAGCCTTCACGC